TTGCTAAATATTATTATAATTTAAAATAACTGTTTCTATGTGAGTATGTGTTAAACTGTCATTTATTCCTGTGATGCGCAGCTGTATTTTCAGCATCATTCCTCCAGTCTTCAGTGTCACATGATCTTCAGAAATCAGTATAATATGCTGATTATTAGAAACATTTCTGATTATTATCAATGTTGAAAACAGTCGCGCTGCACAATATTTTTGTGGAAACTGTGATGCATTTTATTTTTCAGGATTCACAGATGAACAAAGTTCAAAAGAACAGCGTTTATTTGAAATGTAATCTTTTGTAACGTTATAAATGTCTTCACTGTCACTTTTGATGAAGATTGAATGCATATTTGATTAATAAAAAAAAGCGGTAGTTAATATGGCACTCAGTTATCATCTTGGAAATAAAAATGGTAATTTTGCACAATATTTTGTGTAAATATTTGCATTATTTTTCCTTCAAATTTTTGACTAAACATTAACACAAGATCACGTCATATTCTGAATAATTCATCACACTGGAAACAGAAGCTCAAGGCAAACACACTGCATTGTGGGCTATGATGTTAAAATGCTGTAGGGTATTGCATGCACACAGCAGAAATAGCATGAGCTGTATGTTATTACAAACACAGCCCAGTTCATGTGTCTGAAGACTGAATAATGCGGTTCACTGCTTTCGGTTCCTCACCCAAACACCTCAGACGAGGCTGTTTTCATCCCTGAAGATGTGCTACTGTACTCCGCTTCAGAAAACACACAGAGAAACACTTTAGATGCACCTTCAAAGCCTGGAAAGCTCAAGAGAACATATTAAAGTTCAGTACCGACGGTGTGCACCGAATATGAATATGATCCTCTCTAACATTCACTTCACAATCGCACTTATTCATGAAGATCCGCAGGTGAAAACACCAATGAAGACGACGCGCTGACGTCACACTAAAAAATAAACTATTACTGTTTTAAAAACCAAAAACTATAATCAAATTACTTATTGAAATAAAACTAAAATACAAATTATAACTATTTAAAATATTTGTAAAAACCAAAAACTATAAACATGAGAAAAGCATAACCAAAGTGAATTGAAATATAAATAAAAATATTACATGAAAAACTAAACTAAATGTTTACGTACTAAAATTACTTAACATAAAATTACTAAAAATGCAAGTTTTCTTTTTTTTTTAGAATAAAATATAAATATTTTAAATGAAATTAATTTAGAAATGTTACCTTGGCAACTAATTAAAATAAGTTTAGGTTAAATTACTAAAACTACTGAAATAGAAATAGAAATATTTATATTAAAACCCCCAAAATTAATAAACAGGAGAAAAGCACATAATACCTAAACATTTAACTAAATTGAATAGAAGTTGAAATAGAATTAAATATAAATATTAGATGGAAAACCTTTTTTCAGTTAGTTGCCAAGGCAACATTCTTAATTTTCATTTAGTTTAAGCTGAAGTACTAAAATGACTAACTGAAATAAAACTAAAATTGAAATATAAACAAATTAAAACCTTTTAGAAATATTAAAAAATAATAAGCATTAGAAAAGAATACAATTACTAAAAACTAGAATAAAATATAAAAAATAGATGAAAATTAGAAATGTTGCCTTGGCAGCAAACTGAAATAAGTTTAAGTTAAAGTACTAAAATTACGAACTGAAATAAAACTAAAACCGAAATAAAAACCAACTAAAACCATTCAGAAATTTTTTTAAAAACCGAAAACTAAAAAACATGAGACAAGCACATAACAAATTAAACTAAAATTAAAATGGATATAAAAAGCTCCAAATATTAATCAAATCTATAATAGTATAAAAAAATATAACACTAAAATAAATAAATAACTAAGAATGATGATTAAAATGGTTATTTTGAATTTTTCTATACTGATTTTTTTCTCCGCTTATGAATATGATCCTCTGTGAGCTGCGTTCTTAACATTCACTTCACAATCACGGTTATTCATGAATATCTGCGCGTGAAGAAGCTGCGCTGACGTCAGCACGCTCGGATGTGAAGTGTGATAATAACCCAAATCACACACACACACACACACTCACACTCACACTCTCACACACTCTCACACACTCACACTCACACTCACACTCACACTCACACTCACACTCACACTCTCACTCTCACACACTCTCACTCACACTCTCACACTCTCACTCTCACTCACTCACTCACACTCATACTCTCTCACTCACACTCACTCTCACACTCACTCACTCTCACATTCTCACATTCACACTCACTCTCACTCACTCACTCACTCTCACTCTCACACTCGCACTCACTCTCACTCACACTCACACTCACTCACTCACTCACACTCACTCTCACATTCATACTCACACTCATACTCACACTCTCACTCACTCACACTCACACTCATACTCTCACACTCACACTCTCTCTCACACTCACTCTCACACTCACTCTCACATTCATACTCACACTCTCACTCACTCACACTCACACTC